GGTTCATGTAGCTTTTCAGGACCTTCTTTTTCCACTTAGGCCTTATCGATTCTAATAGATCAATAGGCTATGTTTTCATTTCCCACAATGCTCATATCAGGTACACATTATTAGGTTGATTTTCTAATAAAGAGTCATGGAGAAAATCTATCTATGTGGTTGCTAAGTGTCAATGACAACTTTATGACATAATCTAACACAGAGAGAGAAGAGAAGAGAGCTGGAAGAGACCTTGGAGATCTTCTAATCCAGTTCCCTGCGCAAGCAGGAGACTCTATACCATTTCAGTCCAGTCTCTTCTTAAAAGCCTTCAGTGATGAAGCTCCCACAAAGTCTGAAGGCAAGCTGTTCCAGTAGTTAACTGTCCCCACTGTTAGGAAGTTTCTCCTTATTTCCAGGTTGCTTCTCTCCTTGATTAGTTTCCATCCATTGTTTCTTGTCCTTCCCTCCAGTGCTTTGGAAAATAAATTGACCCCCTCCTCTTTGTGGCAGCCCCTCAAATACTGGAATAATACTATCATATCACCCCTTATTCTTCTTTTCTTTAGATTAGCCAGACCCAAAATCTGCAGCCATTCTTCATATGGTTTAGCCTCCAAACCTCTTAGTTGTTCTTCTCTGAACTTTTTCCAAACTCTCAATCTCTAAGGTACTTAACAGATCAGGTATTAGTTTAGGAATACTAGATAATAAATTTCCATGCCTTAACAAATAAGGAATTTTAGATGCGTCAATAGGATTAACATAAAACAAACCAGATAGCCAATGCTTAGCTTGAATAAAGTGTCAATTAGGGAAAAGTTCCATTTTCCCACTCAAAGTACAGTTTTTCAGAGAACATGCAGGTTAAGGGATTATAATTATGAACCACTATTTTCTATATGAATGTTACATGGCAAAGAATACAAAATTGATCCTCAAAGAAGCAAGGGTTGCAATTCTTACCAGTGTTACAGAGGATTGAAATGACTCTCAAGTTGAACCAAGAGACGGCTCACTTCTGCATTTTCTGAGTTTTATTATTCCAATCCATAGTAAAAATTAACATGAACTATAGGTGGACAATGTGGAAAATTGTTTCAAGAAAATAATTGAAGAATAGGTTATTTACAAATAATCAATAGTTTATTTGTATTTATTTATATGCATCTATAGATGTATAAGATGATTTACTAGTGAACTCATGAAGCTATTTTGAAATAAATAATATGAAGCAATGCAAGTAGAAATATCTCTTAAATTATATAAACCAATTTCTGAGATAAATTCATTTCAGCACATTTGTCAAAATACTAAAACTTGGTTCCTGTTTTGAGCTTCCCCAAAGATGGACCACTGACCGCGATCGTGCACAGCTTTGGTTTGTGCTTTGGTGTCAGAGAGCCCCAATCCTTTGGATTTGGGGCAGAAGCTACCTCGTAGGGGTGGCGGAGGAAGAGGAGACTGTCAGCTGGGTAGAGGGGAGTCAGAAATCCCCTCCCCAGCTTGGCAATTGCTCCCTCCTGAAGACGCGGTGGACTAAAATGGCCACCCTGAAGGGGAAGATTAGACTGGAATAAGATTGTGCAGGAGAGAGAGAAAGAAGCGAACAGCAGGAGGAATGGGATGATATAATCAAATGGAAGATACCCCCAAGATTAACATTTCAAAGAATCTTTAAGAAAGGATCTAAGTGGCGAAGAGAAAGAGAAAAAAAAAGATGTGAATTGCTTTTGATAGCATCGGGGCTTCGAAACCGCAAAAAGTAGAAGCTGGAGAAGGAACTATAGAGAAGAAAAAAGAAAAGAGGGGGTGAAGATTTAGCATAATAAAGAGTACCATCTCAGTTAAACTCAACTTGTTTTTCTTTTAAAAAACTCTTGTTTCTTGAAATTGCATGGAAATTGATACAATAAAGGAAGAACTTTGAAAAATTGAAACATTGTAAAAAAGAAAGAATTAGGAAGATTCTGCCTTTGGATTAGTTGCTGATTCTGACATGAATTTGGCACTGGATTAGCGGAGACTTAAAAACTTGAGAGGAAGAAAAGTTGACTGTTGGAAATAAACTTTAAAGATACTATTTGGATTAAATTGCAAATCAGAAAGTTGTAAAATGGCAATTTCTCTTCTGGCATTAAAAATGGAACTCAGAAAAATGAAAGAAACACTACAAGAACGAGGTGAATTGCTGGGTTTTGCTTTAAAATTTATTGAAAATGCGACAGCAGAATATGAACAACAAAGACAAAAATCAGAATAGGAGGTGGAGCAAATCATAGAAGAGACTATCTTTAGTGATCATCGAGAACCAAGAACTCTTGAAAGAAAGAAGAAAAGAGTTGGAAATAAATACAGGAGATTTAAGAAATTAAATAAAAAGGGGAATATCCAAAAAATTAAAAAAGGGAAAAAGAGTCAGCAGAAATTCAAAGGGCGAAAGGAAGCTATAAATAGAGAGAGGGATAAAAACTGGAGTGAAAGAACAAAGGAGAAAAGACGGGGAAAGAAGGACAAGAAACAGGTTTTGGAAACAAAGAAATATGGGAATTGTAAAAAAAATGGGGAAATCCTTAATTGGACAAGGAGATAATGGGTGATTATTATATAGAAAGGGGATTCTGCAAGGTACTGAGGGGTAATATAAATAAATTTATAGTTATGAAATAGGGACATATAGACTGACAAGATGGAAAAACAGAATTGTTATTTTTTGGATAATGGAATCTAATGCTCTTCCTCTTTATGTAGAGAGATAATTGTAACAAATAATGAAATAAGTATATTAGATATAGTGATATATTTTTAAGATTGGAATGTTGGCTTTTTTGGTTTAAATATGAATGGAATAATTAATGGAATATGTGTATTAAATATGTGGAAATAAAGGAAATGATATAGGAGGAGAGCTGAAATGGAATTAACTTTAGGGTTTAGGATTGTTTTACTGTTTGAATGAGTAGATTAATAAGTCCTTTTGGGGGGGGGGGGAATTTAATGAAATTTAAAAGGAGAAAAATCATGCAGAATCTGATTTATATATGCTATGTAGTTTTAAAGGGATTATTAAGTTTAATGTTTTAGGTAATGTTAAATGTTTTAACAAGATTTAAAAGGGGTGAAAATGAATTTATAACTTAGAGGTGGCACACTTATATTGAGATTTCAGGGGCAAACCAATTTATAGAAGAAGTGTCTTTTTTAAATTAGAATTTAAGATGAAATATACAAATGTGACAGTTAAAAGTACTAAAGTATAATGATTATGAAGTTATCATAAGTGAATTAAATAATGAGATAAATATTTGGAATAATACAATAAAATAGAAAATGTATTAAAAGCACTGTTAAGGAATTGGATATAAAAATTGAATATTTAACCATGGTCATATTTGTATGTATAAGTGAAACCTGTAATCATGCTGTTCACTAAAAAAGAGATGTTAAAATATGGAAAACTGAATAAAACTTGTTTAAAAAAAATACTAAAACTTACTGGTGTGGTGCCAAAATAGAAGATAAGTTTACAAGATAAATTAAAATATCTGGGTACAGTCTAAGGCTCCAAATTATAAACATAGTAGGTTTATTACTGAATGAGATCTACATTAGATCGGATTTATTCTAATTTATAGAGAAATCAAATATGATACCAAAATCTTCTATCAAAGAAATGTTGTAATGGAAAATGTTTCTTACATAACTACAAAACATGCATGGGTACCAATATGTCAGCTACTATAAAAGAAAAGACAGAATTTTCAGAATTTTTAATAGCAAGAGTAAGGTTTATAATTACATTAAAAAGAAAAAGTGCTGAAGAATGTTCTTTGCTCTTGACACATGTGATCTCAGCTCCTTTGAGTCTAGGTACTCTCCATGGTTAACATTGGTTTCATTTCAAAATTCAAAGTTGGGTTGTGCATGCTTAATACTTGGATGGAAGACTATCAAGAAATCCTAGAACAGTTGGGTATCCTAGGAATTCAAGAAAACAGTGGAAGAAATAAAATTAATTTGCTTTGTGGTATATGTGCATGAAATCACCAACAGTTTGTCTCAAAAAGATTTTATTTTTGACTGAAGGGATTAAGTCATAAACTGTTACAATTATTGAAAATAGCAACAGCACTTAGACATATATGCTGCTTGATAGTGTTTTACAGCCCTCTCTAAGCAGTTTTACAGAGTCAGCATATTGCCAACAATCTGGGCCCTTGTTTTACTGACCTTGGAAGGATGGAAGGCTGAGTCAACCCTAAGCCTGGTGATATTCGAACTGCCAAATTGCAGGCAGCTGGCAGGTAGCAGAAATAGCCTGCAGTACTGCATTCTAACCACTGTGCCATTGTGGCTCCATGTAGAGGAGAATAAAAAATTGGGGCAAAAAAAAAAACCCTCTTCCAAATTTATAGTAAACTAAAAGTGAGTTGTAAACCAAAGACAGAAAAACAAATTTTGTGAGATGTCTAACTATTGTCTTGCTTTTACTATAACCTTCTACCAATCTATTTGTTTATTGGACATATGCTCCCTATTTCAAATATATAACTCTGGGCAATATTACAGAATTAATATTTTAATACATTAAAAGGATAATATATATAAAAAGATGAAACCCATCCAGCAAACACAGCAATCAATAGTCAACATAACCATTCACTCACACACAGGGGGCAGGATGTGGGTGCTATCTCCTTTTAGATAAGAAGCAAAATAAAATGGTTGTATATGAACCTATATGTGGAGATAGCCAGAAGAAGTTTATGAAGCAACCATGTAAGCCTGGCAGAAAAGGCAGATTTACTGATTAATAGACAAGTACTTTGAACAGTTTCTTGTGTGTTGCAAGTATTTCTTTCAAAAGATTTACATAGCCATACAGTGACATTCAGAATGAAATATTTAGGGAAATGATTCCTATATTTTCTCTTAGAGACATTTGAAGTTTTAACATGTCCACCTTTATATTATAATCATGTTTTTTCCCTCTTCTCCCCTCCCCTCCCTGTGCTTTACAGGGAGATACAATTGTTTCCTGTGATTCTTATGGTGTATTGAAACTGTGGGATGTTCGGAGGGGAGTTCCAATGCTCTCCATTGATGCTGGTCCACACCCTGGCAATCAGGTGGCTTTTGATCCTTCCGGTAAGATCCTTCTTGACACAGGAGATATAAGGGACAAAGATTTTACCAAGGCCGTTTGTCTGCAGTGCTGGATTTATTAAGAGTTTTAGAAACCTAATTAGATGTAATTCAACCATTGTCTTGTACATACGTAGAACAGACTTCAGAGGTGAAAAAGAAACAAACATAAAATGTTGCTTTCATTGAAATTAATGAAATCAACAGAAACAAACCCATAGAAGAAATATGAAGGCTGCATAATATTTTTTTCTGTGAATCCAAAACTTATACAAGTATTCCTAATAAACAGTAGACTTTATTCATGCCATAACAAATAGCCTTAGATTTATAAGGAAATTAAATATATATGAACCCATGTAAATGGGTTAGTTTCACAATGCTTCCCAGGGCAGAAAGTGCATCTGTCATCAAGTTGTGCTTTTTGTCCCTTAATATTAAAATAAGCACTCGCTAAAAACATCCAAGGTTTTTTTTATTATTTAAAATTTCCTAGCTGGAATAATTGCATTTTTGTACTGTCACAGTTAGATTCCTTTCACAAATACCCAAAACTATTTCAAAAGAAAGTTTCCCATAAACTTGCATAGACTCACTTACACACCTAAGCCTAATTCAGAAGACTCAGACAGTTGTCTTCTAGCTATTCAAATCAATTAATCTAGAGGTAAATAGAAGAGAATGAATATATGTAGCTCATGCTTGAATTGTGGAGTTAGTGGTGTTCTTTGAACTTGGTTCAAGTAGATAGCACCTGGTTAGATAATAAACCGTAAAGAATTCCACAATTTAAATATCTTATTGTTTCAGGTATTGACCCATTCATAATGAAATTCTTAGCCATCCCCACTAAAAATTATACATAGATACTATTCCTGAAGTATCAGACAGCCATTAGAACTGATAACCTGATGTCCCATAAATTTAGTCAGTCCATTTTTAAAACCATAAATACTGTATATGCATTATCACATTTGATAGCTGCAAATTCTGTGGCTGAATTGTGCCTTATGAAAAAAAAAGGCTTTCTTTTATTGATCCTGAATCTTCTCATTTAATTTGAATGAATTATTCTAACATTGTGAGAACTAATAGTAATTGCTGTATTTATTTTGAATTTATAACTAACTGCATAACTGCAGTAGACTAAAACAATTGAAAGAATAATTTAATAAAATGCCCAGGACATATAATAATCTCCACAGATTCAAAATGGTTGGTAAAAGTTATTTCTTTATGATTTGTGGGTGAGCATTTTAAGCAAATAACATTTTTAATGCTTTTAGAACAGGGGGGGGATGGCATTTTTCATCTCATGCAGCCTCTCTTTGAAGCAAGCAAAAATAATTGGTCTTCTTCCTAAAGAGCTGTTTTATTTCCCTTTTTTTAAATTGAATGAATCTTATCCTTAAAAATAAGATTATTTTCTTCCTTCCTTTCTTCAAGCAAATATTCCCTTTACAAACGAAGTACTGTACTTCCTTCTTATAATAATTGCATTCAGCTTAGTTTCATAAAAGGATTACCCTGATTTATACAGGCCCTTGGCTTTTCTGCTTATTAGCTGTCCCTGAGCCAGCTGCTCTGTTGTGAACTCACTCTGATAGACTACTACATGCAGAGTGGCTGCCAGCAAGAATGCAATGTATGAAAATTCTCCTATTGTTCAAGCAACCCATAATACCCTCCATGCTTTTCAGAATGAAGCCCTTTCTGAGCACCTTCTCAATATTTCCAATAAGGGTTTTTTGTTCAGAAAAAGTGTACCCACTCCTGAAATAGCATCACCAAATGGGAACTGTTGCTTTAAATCTAGGCTGCAACAGCTCTCACATTGCTAAACCTGAGGCTGTTGCAAGTGAACTGACCCTGAGAAGGCAAAGAAGCAATATACAAACTGTGTTACCCACAGCTGTAGGAACTGCTGAGGATGTGCCAGAGGAAACATTGATTGACTTATTCAGTGCATTGTCAGAACCTGAGCAAGTTAACATCATTCAAAGATTGGATGACCTAAAAGAGGCATTGACAACACTACAGCAAAGCCTCTATTTAATTTGGCTCCACTAACCACGCAATCTTGTGACAATGTATTTAATCAACAAACTGCCTCTACTTTAACAGTAAAAGAAGGTACTGTCATACAGGCTGACTGTGGGGTAACTTCACTGACTGACCCAACCTCTGAGAAACAACTGAAAGACAAAGGGCTTCATCACACAGTGTCCCCTAAGCTGACAAACACTAAGGAGATAATCTAGCTTCCATCTTCAATTGATTTAGAAGCTCCCATAACAGCTTTTCACAAGATGAATCAGCTATGCCACTCCAAAAATGGACATAAATCTACATTTATAGATTTAAACCAGAGTACCTGCCCATTGGGAAAAAAATCATTCTTGGAGCAAGAGCAAAGGCAACCGAGATATAGAGGAGCAACAACAAGTTCTGCAACCCATGAAGAGAAATATCGAACCTCACAACAATTGTGTTTATATGGGAAGCTTAGATGATATTGATCTGGCTCCATGTCAAGTTGACATCTGACATCTTTACCATCCAGCCAATTAACCAAGCCAGATCATCTTGCTTCTGAGAACCCCATACAGTTGGTGACCTGGAACATAGTGGTCTGGAAAGGGATAGTTGATAGTGGACTAATGAGCTTTTTCTCTAGATTTGACGTAATAGCCCTTCAAGAAACTTGGCGAACCGAAGTGGACGAACCAGTACAACTGCCAGGCTTTCAGGGATGGGCCTCCCCAGCCCAAAAAACAAAGAACAAAAGGGAGACTCTCTGGTGGACTATGCATTCTTATAAAGCAAGAATTGCAATGGCAGGGAGAGAAATTATATAATGAAGATAAGTATCTGTACTTTCTAGCTGTCAAATTTGAATATGACCAGTTTGAGTTAATATTGGTAAATGTGTATATTCCCCCAAGCACATCCCAGCACTATAATTCTGAATAATGGATGTGCCTGGAAGTTATCCTAGAAGATATAGCAATACTGTATCCTCAGTCCATAGTGGTTTTATTAGGAGATCTGAACACTAGACTGGGTCCCTCTTTGTATGAGCTTGCCTAGAAGAAGGGAATCAAAGAGTTCTTTGAAAACCATCCTCAGTGGCTCTCGAGAGATTGTAAAAGTAATGCCGCTGGTTTGCTTCTAGTCTCCTTAATTTTTAAGGGTAATCTCCAAATTTTGGGAGGTAAGGATAAGAATTACACATACCCTTATACATACCACTCAACTAATTCAAGCAGTGTACTGGATCTCTTTTGTGTGTCTAGAGATAAGGCTGACCTCTTCTCGGAGGTCATAGTACACCTTAGCGACAATAGCGATCATCAGCCTATAAGTGTGACATTGCGAGGCCATTCAGTTTTAAGACCATATAACATGGCTGACAGATGGCTTATTAGAATAAGGCTAGAAAGTAGAATTTGTATTTCATCAATCGGCCTTCAGCCATCAAATCATCAGCTGGAGCTGATGTTGAATAATAATGCAATGCTTGGTTTCAAATACTCCAAAATACACACTATTTCATGCAGCTCAGAGAAGCAAAATCACAAAAATCATTAAAAACTATGCATTTTATTCATCATGTCATTGGGGGTAATCATTCTGTTTTCCAAAGTCCTAGGGTTTGCAGGAGTTACATCGGCCTACTGAGCAATATTTTACTAGCCCTGTCTTGAGCCAACAATGTGCAGTAGCAGCCCAAAAAGCTAATATAATCCTGGGTTGTATAAACAAAGGCATAGAATCAAGATCACATGAAGTACCACTGTATAAAACCACAGTAAGATTCTGAAACCAATTTTAGTCATCATACTACAAAAAAAGATGTTGAGACTTTGGAAAAAGTTCAGAGAAGAGTAACTAAGATGATCAATGGCCTGGAGACTAAAACATATGAAGAACGGCTGCAGGATTTGGATTTGGTTAGTCTAAAGAAAAGAAGAATTAGAGGTGACGTGATAGTAGTATTCCAGTATTTGAGGGGCTATATTTGAGTATTTGAATATTTGAGGGTCTAGTATTGTAAGAGGTGGTAGCATGGGAAGGTTTCTTTTAAACTCAACCACCATTTCTACAGTTTTGAGTGTGTTCAGTTCCAGATTGTTCCGGTTATACCACGAGGCAAGTTATACAACTTCCTGTCTGTATAATGATTCAGATGAGACCAATCACTGTTGTATCATCTGCAAACTTCAGTATTTTAACAGATGGATCATTTGAGATGCAGTCATTGGTATATAAGAAGAGAAGAGGAGAAAGCACACAGCTGGGGGGGGTGGGTGGGGGGGGCTTGTACAGGTATCAGATGTGATTCTGCTTAGCTTCACTTGCTGCTTCCTGTTTGTTAGGAAGCTTATGATTATGAAATATAGATGAAAAAGCATTTTCCATCTGTACTTTTACTCTTAGAGCTTATGTGAACGTATACTTGATAATTAATTTAAATCCTTACTTCTAAATATCAAACTCATTTGAAACGTAACTGTTTTTCAGATAATATAGATTATATTTATTTTTGCCAAATGTTTACCTAATTTTTCTTATCTATGGATTCTCAATTTATTTGATTTTATCAATTTATCAATAGGAATTATAAAATGCTCTATTCAAACAGAAAAAAAATAAGAGAAACCGGATTTGAGGAGATACTGTTTTTATTGCTTATTACTACTGCCTACCTTCTAAAAGCTAGATATTGCTAGCCAGATTAAAGCTAGATAACTGCAAGTATCTTTTCATAGTCTGAGATCTTTTCAAAGCCTGAGATGCTTTGAATTGCAATTATCAGCATGACAATGATAGGTAATGGGCTCTCTAGTTATACAGGCAGTAGAAGTCTCCAGGTTGGAAAGGCTACTATAAAAATTCTATCTAGAATAGAACAAAGCAAACAAATGTATCAACTTCAGTATGTTGCTGTTTAGAGGACTGGATTTATCTATTGTAATGACATCTGGAACAAAGGCTAGTAC